AGACTTAGATTTCAAGAACATCTCAAAATTTATTTAATTCAATAAAATTTTGATTGCGTAACTTTTCAGGTTATCTTTAATATATAGAAAAATAATAGTGTCAAAAAATATTGTAATAATATTATTAAAATAGTTACTGAGATAATCACCTCCTTAATTATTAAACAACCTTATGAGCCATCAACCGAATTATATTACATTAAGATTCTTTCAATTAATATTATAAAGGATCAATGTATGAGAAAATGGTTCTTTAGGCAAAGTTAACCAAGTTAACATAAGATTGCCCATACAACATTAAAAATTTAAGGATTAAAAGAAATTGATTCGTATAAGGAGCTGATTATACAACTATACCTTATTTTTTTCCATAAAAATTAAATTTTTTATAATAATCTCTTTCCCATATCTTGATTACGTGAATTTTTAGAGTTGGATCTGATTGATAGATAAAGATAAATTTTCTCTAGATCATAAAATTTTCCTATTTAGTATTATGACCTTTAGAAATAAAAATCTCATTTTAGGGGCATAATTTTCATAAACAATGGTAAAAATGAAATTTGACATCAATGGACATTCCTTGGAGAAAACTTAAGATTATTAAAAAATTTTAATATAGATATCATATCTTAGAATAGTATGGATACATTAAATGAATATGAAAATAAATTTGATAAATTCCAAAATTTACAGTTAATTTGATCAATAAAATAAAATTAATATTAGAATCCAAAATTATAAGATGTTCTCTTGTAAGCTGAATGATATTATGATGAAAAACTTTAGAAGTAAATTTAATATTATTCTTAAGTTTAATTTAAAAGAATATATTTACTGAAACATTCCCAAAATTATAGAATTATAAAATATTAATTTTGGTTTTGTTTTACAAAACTTTTCTTTTTTTTTGAATATATTCTATAATAGATAATATTTTATTGGATTAAATGATTCATAACTTTGATAGTTATTTCTAAATGTAATTCTTATCATTTGATCCTTGTTCCAATGCAACCAAATAAAATTTTTTAGCTTCTGATTTCTTCCCTAATTCAAATAGTGAATCAGCTAAATATAAAATAAGTTTTAAGTACCTTTTCGTTATAATCTTATAGAATTAATACTAATAGAAAGAGCTTAATCGTAACATGAGATTGCATCAGTATATATCTATAATTGGTGTAGCGCATAACCTGAATCATATTAAAATTTACCCTTATTACTCCAAGCAGTATCATATATTGGATTAATGGTGATTGCTTTGTCGTAACATTCAATTGCTTCTTAATATTTATTCAAATTA